CCAGGTATATTTTGGAGGTGAATGGGTAAAAACAAACCAGATAACAAGGCCAGGTATATTTTGGAGGTGAATGGGTAAAAACAAACCAGATAACAAGGCCGGGTCTATTATAGAGGCGAATGGGTAAAAACAAACCAGATAACAAAGTCAGGTATATTTTGGAGATGAATGGGTAAACACAAACCAGATAACAAGGCCAGGTCTATTATGGAGGCGAATGGGTAAAAACAAACCACATAACAAGGCCAGGTCTATTATGGGCAAAAACAAATCAGATAATCAGGCCAGTTCTATTTTGGAGGCGAATGGATAAAAACAAACCAAATAACAAGATCTGGTTTATTATGGAGGCAAATTTCAGTTTATGTGTATGCAGACACGGTTCAGGACTTTAATAATTGTTGTTGTTTTTTTCTGGAGGTGGGAGGGGAGGATCTAAAAGAGAGGCAGTCTGGGTGGCTTAAGGAAATGTAGAAAACGTGTTCAACTTGTGTTGAATCGGTTCCTCCTCTAGTCTAATGTTCAAAATCAATTGGTCCTGATAATTCCTGGGATAAATCGTACTTGAATGTTTATTTTTTTATTATTATTGACTGTAAAATAAACATTTTTATAAACGTTATTTAGATGGGGAAGAGGGGTGGACTATAGTTACGTACGGCGAATTCCAGAATAGAACAAGCTTCAGATAGTACGGCCACTGAAAAATAGTTAATTATTAACATTTATGTTACTTTTTTTCAAAGAGCACGAACTCAGGATCTCTCATTACTGTCAAACCTTACTTGCATATATATATAGATTAGATTGTTTATGTTACACGCTTTTCGAAGAAAAATAACTCAGGATCTCTCATTATTTTCAAACCTTACTAGCATATACATAGATTAGATCCGATTGTTAAATATCTGATCGTCTATAAACATTTTCGATTAAAAAGCCATGCTCTCAAATACTTTCTGGAAACGATAATGTACATGTGAGCAATTGGTTAGTCTTGAGTTTTAGAGGCGGTGCGGGTAACTAGTACGAGCCACTAGCATCCTGCCTTCGTGCTCGTGCACCTGGCCCCAGTGTTTTGAGATATCGGAACATTACTGCCGTGTATGCTAAACGGTCCAGCGCGAGGAAAACCCTTAGGCTGCTGTCCTGACTCACGGGATTTGTTTGTGCGTGTTTTTCTTGTTCTAGTCACCTCGGGTGACCCATAAAGTCATGGAAAATATAGACTTACTGAGCATCAACCGACAATTTCTGGAGCAACATCTGCAACAATTCGAATCACAACTGACTTTTTGTCCTTATCAAGTCAACGATGAAAACCTTCAACACAAGACGCGCCGACGGAAGTGTCACCAGCAAATAATTCAGCAGAGACACGCCGCCAACCTACGGGAGCGGCGCCGAATGCAGTCTATCAATGATGCATTTGAAGGACTCCGAGCACATATTCCAACTCTTCCTTACGAGAAACGCCTTTCCAAGGTAGATACTCTGAGAATGGCCATTGGCTATATTGATTTCTTAAGTGACCTGTTAAATTCAGGGTGTCATCCAAATGATTCTTTATCCAACCGGAGTAGCGAGCAACCCAAGAAAATTATAATTCAATACCACAGAGGTAAGACTCAAACTGTGCAGATTTTCATCACTATAACATTTGTATTACTTTAGCCAGAAAGATCTGTACAGTTTGAGTCTTTCTGGCTAAAGTAATACAAATGTTATAGTGATGAAAATCTGTACAGTTTGAGCTTTCATCACTATAACATTTGTATTACTTTAGCCAGAAAGACTCAAACTGTACAGATTTTCATCACTATAACATTTGTATTACTTTAGCCAGAAAGACTCAAACTGTGCAGATTTTCATCACTATAACATTTGTATTACTTTAGCCAGAAAGACTCAAACTGTACAGATTTTCATCACTATAACATTTGTATTACTTTAGCCATAAGAACTATCATTTAGACAATTTTCTACCTCATTGCTAAATGGATATAGATATATTTTTAAATCAAATTCATATACCAGGTTACAGAGCTGGATAAAGCTGTCTAGGTGCTAAAGACAGCCCTTACTAATCTCTTGACCCCCTTCTCCCCTCATGACCTCTTCCCAAGATTAGTGTTTCAGATTTCTGGACAAAATGTAATGGTAATTTTCTAACGTGATTGTAAACCCAAACTTTCTTTTAGTCGCCATATTGAAATTGACTCTTGTCCAGGTTACACTACAGTGATGTCTTACTGGCTTTTGTAGAAGCCAGCGGAGCTTTACCTGTTCGGTAAAACAAGATTAATTGAAAGCACCCCCGAGAAAGGGGACCGAGCAGTTCCTCCTCTTCCCCTTTAATGTGGCAGTGCCAGTTTCCACATATTAAAGTGTATGTAGTCACAATGTTTCAAGAATTTTCCCTTACTTTAATTCATACATTATATATATATATATATATACAAATATTTTTTGCACCTCTGTATATTTGGTGTTATATTTATAAAGTGTGTTTTTTTAAAGTATAAACATTTATAACTTTTATTCTAAATTATAACGTTAAGTAGATTATCATTTTGTAACCCATTGCGTCGTTTTTCACATGTGCGTTAGATCAGTTTGGTAAATTGCGTTTGATGATCTAAGATCTAAGGGAATTATTCGCTTTTTTACACCTTATACACACGGACTAGAAAAGATCAAAATCTTGATTTATTGATAACAAAATTTAAAATGAGGTACAAAACATGTCACCTTTCAAAGCACTGAAATTAGTAACAGATTTTAATACTATTATAAGATTATACAATTAAATATTAAGGAAGATTAGTAATTAAAATAACTGTCTTATTACATATATTTTTTGTAAGCCGTCAGTTTACTAGATTCGTTACCCTTATTGCACACTTCCTTGAAGTGTTTACTATAGCCTAGTTACCCTTATTGCACACTTCCTTGAAGTGTTTACTATTGCCTAGTTACCCTTATTGCACACTTCCTTGAAGTGTTTACTATAGCCTAGTTACCCTTATTACACACTTCCTTTGGTTGTTTACTAGCTTCGTTACGTATGTCACATACTTCCTTCAAATGTTTACTATAACTTCATTACCCTTACTGCACACTTCTTTCAAGTTCCATTATATTTCTATTAGCTTCGACATTAGTGTACACTTTTAATGTTTGTTGTCTGTTATCACTATATCGTTACCCTTCCTTTACTGTTCCATCAGGCTTTCAAAATACGATGAAACATTGCCCTAATACAAGTTATATTGTTTACACTACATTATCAGCTATGCCTGTAATTCTTTTTCACACTTCTACACGTGTATCGCTCTTTACTGATATCATTGTAAATATTGTTGTGATATATATACATATACTGACGTTTCTATAAAAAAGAGGTTAAGGATATTGAACGAACTGTTATTGTTTTGACATATACGTACATTTATATACAGAAATAATAACCATGTCTTAGCTCTCGACGATCTTATTAATTTCGTTTTTGTTGTTGCATATTTTCGTCAAAAATACACCAACTTCTTCAATATTGCCTTATACCTTCTTAAGCTTTAGAATATCGCGATATTTATTGGGATTTTTTCAGATATTTTGGTCACTGTTGCCCATATATATCATAGGAGACGTGCTATACCTTATGCCATTTGTTGTACACAGGCTTTTAAAATGTGTTCATTTTTCAAAATTGGACTTATTTTTCCCTACAAGATTCGAGGTTTCACTCTCATTGTTAACAGTGTTATAAATTTTCATCAAAATATTAGTGGCACCAATTGATTTTCGATTAGTTTGTTGTTTAGCATATTTTCCCCCATTTTACTAAACTTTTATTCGTTGTGACGTAGTTCACCTGTTAGGCTAAGCCTTTATTCGTTCTAATGTAGTTCCCCCCACTTTACTAAACTTTTATTCGTTCTAATGTAGTTCCCCCCCACTTTACTAAACTTTTATTCGTTCTAACGTAGTTCCCCTATCTTACTAAGTTTGTAACCATTGTTATGCAGTTTCTCCTATTTTACTAAACTTGTAACTGTTGTTACTTAGTTGCCTCATTTTATTAAGCTTGAAACCGTTGTAATGCAGTTTCTCCCATTTTAATAAATTTTTAACTGTTGTTATGTAGTTACTTTACTTTACTTAACTTATAACTATCGTTATATAGTTTTCCCATTATACTAAGTTTGCATGCAACTGTTATTATGCAGCTCCCTAACAAGTTTAGGAACTTCGTTAGCATTTACTAAGTAGTAAAGATTTTGTTATTATAGTACAAATATATATATACATATTGTTATGTATAAATTTTTTCTTAAATATTTTAAGACAATTAGAGACCTCTGTTTTCTTATAACAAAGTTTGAAGCCCGCAACTTTGCCTATAACAAATCAACCATAAAATAATAACAAGTCTAATATATTAGACAGTTAAATCATTATTATTTGTATAAGACAACCAGAAGTAACATAGTATATTTCATACCAACTGGATAAAACTATATAACAACTGAATGAATGAATCATTATTATACGTAATAAAATATACTGACAAACCCAGTTTCATAACTGAAACATTCATTTGAGGATAAACTTTTCTTATTGTCCTTCAATAGTTGTAGTCTACAATGAAAGAAAAGTAAGAATATCGTTAATGAGAAATTAATATATGAATGAGTATGTAAGCAATATTCACTTATCAATAAAACAACTACCAAAAACCTAGTGACACTGATAGAATTGTTCCTTAAATGTTATCTTAACAGTTCAACTCCAATAATACTGAGCAGTGTTATCATACGTAAAACAATATTGTTAACTGTAGTAGGACTGAGCAGTGCCTCCGTTTATCATACGTAAAACAATATTGTTAACTGTAGTAGGACTGAGCAGCGCCTCTTGTTATCATACGTAAAACAATATTGTTAACTGTAGTAGGACTGAGCAGTGCCTCCGTTTATCATACGTAAAACAATATTGTTAACTGTAGTAGGACTGAGCAGCGCCTCTTGTTATACGTAAAACAATATTGTTAACTGTAGTAGGACTGAGCAGTGCCTCCTGTTATCATACGTAGAACAATATTATTAACTGTAGTAGGACTGAGCAGTGCCTCCGTTTATCATACGTAAAATATTATTGTTAACTGTAGTAGGACTGAGCAGTGCCTCTTGTTATCATACGTAAAGCAATATTGTTAACTGTAGTAGGACTGAGCAGTGCCTCTTGTTATCATACCTACAAAAGTAGTTAACTGTAGGAGGACTGAGCAGCGCCTCTTGTTATCATACGTAAGACAATATTGTTAACTGTAGTAGGACTGAGCAGTGCCTCCGTTTATCATACGTAAAACAATATTGTTAACTGTAGTAGGACTGAGCAGCGCCTCTTGTTATCATACGTAAAACAGTATTGCTAACTGTAGTAGGACTGAGCAGTGCCTCCGTTTATCATACGTAAAACAATATTGTTAACTGTAGTAGGACTGAGCAGCGCCTCTTGTTATCATACGTAAAACAATATTGCTAACTGTAGTAGGACTGAGCAGTGCCTCTTGTTATCATATGTAAAGCAATATTGTTAACTGTAGTAGGACTGAGCAGTGCCTCTTGTTATCATACGTAAAACACTATTGTTTACTATAGTATGACTGAGCAGTGTCTCCTGTTATCATATGTAAAAATTATTGTTAACTATACTAAGTTTGAACAGTGCCTCCTACTATCACACGTGAAAAATACTGTTAACTTTAGTAAAATTAGGTTAATAAACAAAAAAGTAACAGATTCTATGCTTTTAAGTGATTTGTTAAGTTATTAAAAAGTTTCATTTTAACCTTACAATGCGCTTCATAAGTAAACTAGTCGAAATATGTAAGCTGCCCACCTAACGGCTGATCGTAATGTTCAAAATTCCTACTTAAATTTTCAAATATACATTGTTTTTTGGACTCTAACCGATGAAAAATTATAGTTTGTAATAAACATATAAATTCTTAATACCCAAAACTTCAAACCAATTCCATCTATAAAGTACTAGAACCTGTTTTTTTTTGTTCTGAGTACGTAAAAAAATATTTTATGACAATACAGATGAATTCTTATTTTTTTAAGTTAACACTTTAAACCATGTTAATTGAGGTGAAAATAACCAATTTTTTTATGAACTTTCATTTATGTCCATTTTACCTTGCACGGTTGTAGTTGAAGTTATTGTATTGTTGTGTGGCTCACATAATAATATATTAATTAATAGGTTACCACTAACTGATTTTTGAAAACGATTAATTTTATGAAAAGAATGATTCTGAGCCACCCTAGTAAGTGATCCCTAAAAGCTGAACGTTAATATTATTTTGTGTTTTCTAGTTTTTTCATTAAACGTTTAGTGTAGAAGGTTCCTACTATTGATATCTTCTTCCGTGAGTACATGTTGAGTAGTTTCATGTGGTCTGCTCCTACCTTCTGATAACAAACTCAGCACAGAGTCCGAAAAGTCGTCTTCAAAACTAGCCAAAGAGCAGTAACAGCACATGTGAAACTATTCAACAGATTATATGTTATCATTGTGACTTTTTACACACTTTCACATAAACTCGATCTTCCTAAAGTGCTTCTGTTCTATAATTTTGCATTGTTTAAATCATTCAGTAGTGCCAGTGTGAACAATAATTTCATGCTTTATCATAACCACCCCTTAGGCTACTATGTTTCCATGGAAACTGTAACGTCTAGTCATTTGTTGTTGATAACTTTTCTTCAAGATTTTGGCTTAATAATCGATGATTTTTTTTCTTTTCATATAAACAGTGAAATACGAAATAATATACAGGGTGTCCGAAAA